AAGAAATGTATTTGCGTGAGAGAATGTAGGAATTGTGTTTGTTGTATTTTTATTAGCCATAATTTTAAGATTTGGATTGGTTAAGGCAAGTAATTTGAGAAAGTGTTGGAAAATATTATTTACGATTTTTCTATAAATAAAATTGTTATTCAAAAATAGTTATACGTGTGTACATATAAAGTGCAGGTTTTTAGTATTGAGAAGAACACCGCAACCTATCCCAACAATATTAGTCACAGTTTAGCCAAAAAAAACCCCAAAGTTTAGTTTTTCATTAAAAAAAATTCCATGGATTCAGTTTTCCAATCCTTTTTTGTTTTCAAATACCATTCACAGTAAGATTGGTGCTGTATGTCGTTGAGCCAGCCCCATTGGTGGCCGTACATGTGTAGGTGCCAGTATGTGCGGGCGTGGCACGCGGTATCGATAACACACTCGATTTGCTACTAAAACGATTGGTACGCATTATCGGTTGTAGTGTGTCGTAGCGCGCATCGCCAGCTGCGCGTTCAAAACTCCAGTTGATCTTGATCGGGCGATCTCCTTTCTGTATTTGACAAAGCAAATCGACGGAGTCGCCGGTGTTTATAATGTCGTCGTAGCTGAAGGGTGTGATTTGTGGGAGGACTAAGGGGAAAAAAAATTAAATTTTATTTCAATAAACGAAAACGGGATTCAATTAGTATTGGAATACTTTTTTATTATAATTGAAGTAATTATGTCGATTCAGCTCTTTTAAAATGAATTCAGCTCACTTTTAAATGAATTCAGCACAGTTTTAAATGAATTCAGCTTAGTTTTAAATGAATTCAGTTTAGTTTTAAATGAATTCAGCTTAGTTTTAAATGAATTCAGCTCAGTTTTAAATGAATTCAGCTCAGTTTTAATTGAAGTCAGTTACGTCTAAGTGAACTTAGTTAATTTAAATTGAATTAACTACCTTTAAAATAAATTCCGTTCAACATAAAGTTTTGTAAATTTTTGCAAATTTTGGATCCCTTTGAACGTATCAAATGAAGAAATTGAGAAAAAAATAATGTATTCCATTCAGCTGAATTTTAATGAATTCAGCGTGATTTCAATCATTTATTTTACATCATCATATATAATCATTTCTTTTAAAATTAATTCAGCTCAATTTATATGCATTCAGCTCTTTTATAATTAATTCATTTTAATTTAAGAGAGTTCAGCTCTACTTGAAATTTTGGAAATTTCAAAAAATTATCTTTCAAATTCACACTAATAACAGGCAACAAAAGTTAGCACATTTTTGTGCAAGTCAGTTTAACTTTGCTTAAAATAAAGCAATTCAGCTAAGTTCAATAATTTGTAATTTTTTCAAACTACCTCAAACATCTCGTTAATCGCGTAGAAAACTTTATATATACTCAAATAAACTACCTTCCAAAATTATTCAGCTTTATTCAGCGCAGCTTAAACAGCTTAATATATATGTAGCAATGTAGTTAATCTATTGATGATTAATTCAATTTGGAAGCTGAATCAATCAGTGAAAGTTAACTAATTTTTTAAGAGTATTAAGCACGCTATTTAGCGTTATTCAACACAGAAAAATCACTATTCTGCTTAAACACGCAATATATATATTAAATTTCTGTAATAATTGACTTCTTGGGCTATTCAGCGCCTGTAAACATTATTCAGCAAATATTTTTAAGTTCCCCTTTAATTCTATTCAATTATAAAAATGCTGCTTAACATTATTTAGCTTTATTCACAAAAATTTTTGCCTTCCCAGTATTTAAAAAAAAAGCTGTTCCAGTCATTTTTGCAAAGTTTAACTAAATCATGTATAAAAAATATTTAAATAAATTTATATGTAATAAAACCCTACTAATTTTAACTCTATTAAGCTCTAATTTGTTCATTTAAACAATAACTTTGAAAACTTTTCTTTAATTTTTCATACCTAACCCGATTTTTAAGTCATTTTTTTAACAGCATTGCGAAAATCTCAATTCAGCGCTCTGCAAATGCCTGCATTCTTTATTTAAAATAAACTACGTAACATTACTAAGCTATTCAGCTACTTTTGGCATTATTCAGCGTAATTCAGCACAAACGTTTTTCATGTTTAGTATAGAGAAATCAATTTTGAAATGATATAAAGACACTTTTTAACGATTTTTATACGCACAAACATTTTCAGCTACATTGAAAATATGAAAACATAAATTTTAATAAACAAAAATTGTGCTCTGTGGAAGGATATTTGAAAAAAAAAAAAAGAAATTACAACAATGAAAAATTAATACAAGACGCACACAGAACTTATAAAAAAATTATTTATTTAATTAAAAATATTTTTATTTCTTTTAAATTTTCTCAATTATATACCATTAACCAACAATTCAGCTGTATAGACACTCTGTCCCGCCTTATTGCTAGCCACGCACGTATAATTGCCCGAATTCGACGCCTTCACCGATTCCACTGTTAATAAGCTAATGCGATCACCAATCTTACTCGCCAACACGCCCATATGCGAAAATAACGGCAAATCATTGTGGGTCCAACGTATTTTTAACGGCAAATCACCTTTCGCTACATGACAGGTGAGTTGTACGCTATCGCCTTCATTTGCTTCAGCATCGAAATTGAAAGGATGTATAGCGGGTGGGACTACATATACCAAAACATACATATGTATGTGCATACAATAGAAAGAAACACATATTGGGTACGAAAGGAGTTGATCAATAAAAAGCCGATAAGCGATAGATGGTGTAGGAGAAGGCGTAGGGAAATGTAAATAATTATATATATTATATGTATATTGGAATTTTTTTATATACAAAAATGTGAGTGTTAGTAGCAAATATTAAAGATATATTTTTTTTAATAATTTTTAAATTTTTTAAATATTTTTTTTTTTGAATTTTTCATTAACCATTGACTTGCAACTCCGCCTGATATGCGCTCACACCCGCACGATTCGTTGCGATACACGCATAAACACCACGATGCTCCGCCGCAATGTAATCGATATTCAAAGTACTCGATTTAGTCGACATGCGTCCGATAATAATATCGAAATCACCACTTTTCAATGTTTGATTATTTAATGTCCACGTGATATTTATTGGTAAATCACCTTTGGTGACCGAACATTGCACGCCAAGCGAATCACCAGAATTGGTGGCCTCATCACCAAAGGAGAAGGGCATAATTTGTGGCGGCACTGTATGGTGATGGTGGTGGTGGTAATGATTGTAATAAGAAAATGGAGAATGTGTTAAATTGAAAAGAAAAAAGTCTCGTGTTTGTTTGGATAATAATAAATATAAAAATAAATATCTAAACACTAAATACATATTTTTTGCTACTATTCAACGCGCCAACCATTCACAATAAGCTCTGCCACATGTTCAGCGCTGCCCGCCGCATTTGTCGCTATGCATTTATACGTGCCACGATGATGCCCATTGATGGCGTCAATGCTGAGTGAACTTAATTTCGGTGACATTTTTATTATACGTATGCCGGCGTGTTCATTCGTGATGAGTTGTCCATTCAATGTCCAATGTAGCTGCAGAGGGGTATCGCCTTTGAAGACCATGCACTGTACGGCAGTGCTGTCGCCGTAGTTCGAGGGTTCTTCACCGAAGGAGAAAGGCATGACTTGTGGCGAAACTGAAGTTTGTGCGGGAAATATATGATAAAATATGCTTAAACTCTTCTGATCTTGTGAAAAAATGTAAAAAAAAAAAAATTCATACAAAAATTATTGTAAGAAATAGCCTAACCTCTTTAAGGTTAAGGTTAGGTTACACTGGCTGGTTGTTACGCCATACATTGCGCGACTGGTACTTATAGTTCAGTGCGAGCTTAAATCGTGAAGACATATATTAATTAATAATATATTTATTAATTTTTAATATATTTATTAAATTTTAATATATTTATTGATTATTAATATATTTATTGATTTTTAATAAATTTATTGATTATTAATATATTTATTGATTTCTAATATTTTTATTTATTTCTAAAATATATATGAAAAAAAAATACTTTTTCGAAAATTTTATATGAACATTTGCTATAAACATTAAAAAATAATAATAAAAAAAATTAAAAAAATTTTATTGAATTTCAGACACCTTTTGAAAAAAAAAACTTAATATAATAATATATTTAATTAATATATATTTTTTTTTTTTAATATTTCTCTCATAACCCATTCAAGTGTTATGCGCAAAAATATATCTTTTCCCGTTAAACCTTATAAAGTCATCGAAAAACGGCAAAACTTCAAACAAATATGTGATTTGTCAGCGAATTCAGCACATTCAGCACATATCTTTCTTGTTCGCTTCAGCATTTTAACGACGATTTGCGTAAATGTGCTGCAAAACTACAAACTAATAAGTGAATTTTTCAGCAAATTAAGAACATTCAGCACATTTATTTTTTGTGCGCTGCAGCGAAAATATTGCAAAGCATTAAGCATATTCGGCGTATTCAGCGTGAGCACAAAACTACTGTAATTTACTTTAAACCAAAAAACAAACAAACCATTAACTTGTAATTCAGCAATATATTCACTAGTGCCGGCTTCATTTGAGGCGATGCATTTGTAAGCGCCGCGATGCAACGCTGTCAACGAATCGATATTGAGTGAACTCGTGCGTTTATTTAACCGCACTAAAGTAAAACCATTTTCGCCATGCACAATAGGCGCTGAATTCAGCGACCAGCGTATTTTCAGCGGTAAATCACCTTTGGGCACAACACAATTGGCGCTTGCAATTTCACCCATGTCGGCAGTGTCCTCACCAAAAGAAAATGGTAAGACTTGTGGTGGTACTTTTGAGTTTTTCGCAAAACAAAAAAAAGAAAACTAATTTAATAAAAATGTAACTACAATAAATTAATGTCAAAAAAAAAAAAAAAAAAAAAAAATAATTCACCTATGTTTACATAAGCATTTTAAAATATACATATATTTCTACACTTCTTTGCTTAGCACAAACCATTCACATGCAATTCAGCGCTATATTCCGCACTGCCTGCCTTATTCGATGCAATGCATTTGTATATGCCACGATGACGCGCTTCTAATGAGTCAATATTCAGTGAGCTTGTGCGTGGATTCATGCGCGAGAGCGTAAAACCGTGTTCGCCTGTGATGATAGGCGCTAAATTTAGGGTCCAACGAATTTCCATGGGTAAATCACCTTTGGGTATCATACAGAAAACACCAGCAATCTCGCCAGTATTTGCTGGCTCCTCACCAAAATCGAAGGGTTGTATTTGTGGTGGCACTTTTCGAGGGTAGCAATGACGAGGAGTGAGGGAAAGAAGTGGTGGTGGTAGAAAAGAGAAGCGTTTAATCAAATAAAAACAAAAAACTATTTTTGCTACTTCCAACTTCTTATAAATAAATAAATATATAGACTTTTCGAACAAACCATTCACTTCTAATACCGCTACATATTCAGCATAACCCGCTGAATTGTTCGCAATACACTTATAAGTGCCGCGATGCATTGCTTCGAGCGAGTCTATATTCAGCGAACTTGTACGTTTATTCATTTTGAATATATTAAAACCATTTTCACCATTTACAATGAGCGCTGAATTCAATGTCCAATAAATGTCAAGCGGTAAGTCACCTTTGGGTACAACGCAGGTGACACTAGCGACCTCACCACGATTAAGTGGTTCTTCCCCGAAGCTGAATGGGCTGATCTGTGGCGCAACTAAGTATGAAGTAATGTAGTAAAAGTTAATTCAGCTCAGCTGAATAGTAAAGCAACAAATATAAACAAAATGAAATTCGAAAAAATATTGCTGAAATTTAAATTCAGCGCAGCTGAGTTGTCAAATATCAATCGGCAATACCGTGGATTTAAAAAAAAAACTCATTCGCTTTCTTAGTTTATGTAGCTGAATTGTAACAAATTGGTTTGCATTTCTTAACAGCTGAGCAGAAACCACAAAATTTTTTTTTAAATATTTATTTATTAGTGTGGTAAGAAACGATTCGGCACATGAGTTAAATCGAAATTCATTTTTAAATTCATTGTAATAAAAAAAAAACCATTTTATATAAATTCAGCGCCAATTCAGCTACATTTGTACAAAAAAAAAAGTAATTTGCTTTTATTAAAAAGAATCGGGAACTTATGCAATACAGCTCTTTACTTCGTATTTCCAACAAAATACTATTCAGCTCTAATTCAGCATATGTGAAACAAAAAAAGCACAAACTACACCAACACCACATGTAACTTCTTTGTTTTTTTTTTCAAACCCAGTGCATAAAAATTAGAGTACTAATCAGCACAGTGCAATTCAGCACATCTATAGAGAATAGAGAAAGCGTAGAATCGAAAAAGCGAGAGTTAGTAACATTTCATAAACTATATATTCTGCCAAACGCACCATTAACCTGCAATTCAGCGGCATATTCAGCAAGTCCAGCCAAATTCATGGCAATACAACGATAAGTACCACGATGTTTAGCTTCTAAAGAGTCAACGTTTAAATAGCTGGTGCGCGCATTCAATTGCATAACGGTAAAGCCATCGACGCCTGTTGTTATCGGCTCATTATTTATGGTCCAATATATATTAAGCGGTAGATCGCCCTTCAAAACTACGCAATTAATACTTATAATGTCACCCATATTAACAACTTCAGCAGGGAAACTAAATGGGAGTACGTGTGGTGGCACTGTGGGGGAGTTAAGTGGAAAATGAATAAAAAAAATTGTCGAAAATGCGAATTCAACACAAATTCAGCATAACTATTTTCAAATATTATGCACGGAATTTAAAAAAAAAAATAAAAAATATGTATGTGGAAACTATTCAGCACGTATTTAGAGAATATTACGTGTAAAGAATACATATCAAATAAGTTAAATTGGATTTACGTATTAAAATTGTTTGTTTAGCGCAATTCAGCACACTTATATCTTAAAGTTTTGTGCTTGTCAGTGCAATAACTACACTTCCATGGTTGGTTTTAGGAAATTCTCACAACTAAAACCTATTCAGCGCGTATTCAGCGGACGCAATACATAAAACTTCTAAATTTTTGCTACACCAACACCAAATAATGTAGAGTGGCATATATTTTTGAAAAAATCTTTTGTAAAATGTAGTGAAATTTTGATGAAAACAGTAATTAAATACAGCACTTTTGTAAAACTCTTAGGAAGGGTACATATGAGTCTACACTACGTTTGTATTGGACAATATTTGTTAGTAACATTACATTAACTCTCCAATAACTATATCTCTCCGCCACGCACCATTCACTTGCAATTCAGCGGCATATTCAGCAAGTCCACCCATATTCACAGCTATACAACGATAAGTGCCCCGATGTTTAGCTTCCAGCGCATCAACGCTCAAATAGCTAGTACGCGCATTTAATTGTAATATGTTAAAGCCATTGCTGCCTTTGGCAATCGGTTCATTATTGAGCGTCCAGAATATGTCGAGCGGTAAATCGCCTTTTAAGATCATGCACGTGGCGCTAATCATATCGCCCATATTGACAACCTCAGCAGGAAAACTAAAAGGTAATATGTGCGGTGGCACTAGAGGGCATATTATTCAATTTTAATACTAAATTTAAAGTACAGGAGGTGAGGTTGAAAATTAAAAACAAAAAATTAAGAATTAAATTAAAATTAAATAGCGAAAAAACTTGTAAGCGCTTATTCAGCAAATTACTGACGAACCATTAACATCTAATTCAGCGGAGTACTCAGCAAAACCTGCTTTATTATTCGCTATGCACTTATAAACGCCACGATGCTTCGCCTCAAGCGTATTTATACTCAGCGAACTTGTGCGCGCATTCATGCGCATGAGCGTAAAACCCTCCTCGCCATTAATAATGGGCGCTGAATTCAAAGTCCAACGTATATTCAACGGTAAATCACCTTTAGTGACCATGCACTGTGCGCCAGCCATTTCACCAAAATTCAAAGCCTCATCACCGAAGCTGAAATGCATTATTTGTGGTGGCACTACATAAAAAACGAGCGGGGAATTATGGATAGGAGACAAGAGAGTGTTAGAGAAGAGAGAGAGAGAGGATGAGTGTACAATAATTGTGGTTAAAAAAATTAAAAAATTTATAAAATCGAAAATATTTTCTAGCAGAAATTTTCTAAACTTCTCTTTCTTCTTTCTATTTCTTCATTCAGCGTCTACTATAGTATACCGTTAACTTTTAATTCCGCCGCATAAAATGACGATCCCGCCTTATTTTCCGCTATACACTTGAAGAGCCCACGATGATATTGCTCGACAGCGGCAATATTAAGCACACTGGTTTTCGCTGATAATTTCAAAATTGTTATACCCTCCTCGCCATTAATGATGGGTCTTGAATTGAGCGTCCATTTAATATTCATAGGAATGTCACCCTTCTGTATCATACACTGTACGCCGGCATTTTCGCCATTATTTATGGGCTCATCGCCAAAAGAGAAGGGCATAATGGAGGGAGGAACTGATGATGAGTAGGAAAATATTTCACGTAATCGTGTTAGAGAGGGGAATAAAAAATATAAAATAAAATGTAAAAATAACGAACAGCAAGCAACTTTCGAGTAGGACCACGTCATATTTAATACCGTTAACTTTCAACTCTGCGCCAAAATAGTCAGCGCCAGCCTTATTCTCCGCTATGCATTTAAAGAGCCCACGATGTTGCTCCTCTACGGCGGCTATATTCAAAACACTACTCTTTGGCGATAGCTTGAGTATTGCCAAACCCTCTTCACCGTTAATAATCGGTCGCGAATTGAGCGTCCACTTAATGGTTATGGGCACATCGCCCTTCTGTATCATACACTGTACGCCGGCGCTTTCGCCAGTGTTGACAGGTTCCTCGGCAAAAGAGAAAGGCACTATGGATGGCGGTACTAAAGGTGGAGGAAAAGTGTGCTTAACGGAATTTAAAAAAAAAAAAAAAACACACACAAAAAACATAATATTTTTTTTGCTAATAATAATAACTTTTTTTTTAAGCAAAAATGCGCAACTACCATTAACGCGCAACCACGACGCATGCTCTACGCTGCCCGCCGCATTGCTAGCCACACAACTGTAATTGCCCGCATGACGCGAACGCACTGATTCTATATTCAACATGCTAATGCGTTGACCGCTACGCGTAATCACTACACCATCGTTGGAGCCGAAGAGGCGAAAGCCATTAAAACGCCAAAAGATATCCAATGGCAGATCACCTTTGGTGACGGCGCAATTAACTGTGGCCATATCCTGCGCATTGACAGGTGCGCCAAAATCGAAGGGCAAAATTTGTGGTAGGACTGATGGGGAGTAATTTGTAAAAGAACAAGAGTTTATAAAATGAATATTGAAAAATCGTAAATACAGCAAAAACTACATTAAAATTCCTTAAAACTATACTGCACGCCTAACCGTTCACAGCCAGCAACGCCGAGTACTTAGTTACGCCGCCATTATTTGTCGCCACACATGTGTAATTGCCCGCGTGGCGAGCGCGCACCGATTCAATGCTAAGCACGCTGATGCGTTGACTTGTGCGCGTCACTACTAAACCGTCATTGGTGAAAACGCGTCCGCCATTGCGCGTCCAGTAAATATCAAGCGGCAGATCACCCTTTTTGACGCTACAGTACGCGGAAACCATATCCATTTCATTTATGGACTCATCACCAAAATCAAAGTGTAATATTTGTGGTAGGACTGTGTGGAGGTAGTTCAACAAGTCAGGTTTATTGAAATACGAAAATAAATAACAAAAATTAAATTGAGTAAACGGCAAAGGTAAAAATATTATGCTAATCAACAATTCAATTAACCATTAACGGCCAACAGGGACGATTGCTTGCTAACGCCGCCAATATTAGTAGCCACACAACTGTAATTGCCCGCATGGCGAGCGCGCACCGATTCAATGCTTAGCACGCTGATACGTTGACTATTGCGCGTCACAACCAAACCATCATTGGTGAATACGCGTCCGCCGTTGCGCGTCCAATAAATATCGAGCGGCAGATCACCTTTGTTCACCGTACAATAGGCGGAGACCATATCCATTTCGTTGATAGTTTGTGCGCCGAAATCGAAAGGTAGGATTTGTGGTAGGACTGCATTGAAGTTGGATAACTTGGGTTAGTGTTTTCAAAAATAACAAATTAAAGCGAAAAAAATACCAGAAAACTACTATTTTTATTGTAATACGCCGACGGCCTAACCATTCACTGCCAACACGGCGGATTGCCGCGATGCGCCAGCATTATTTGTCGCCACACAACTGTAGTTGCCCGCGTGGCGCGCGCGCACCGATTCAATACTTAAAACGCTTAAACGTTGGCTATTTCGCGTGACAATGAGACCATCATTCGTGTAGACGCGTCCACCATTCTTCATCCAATAGATATCGATAGGTAAATCACCCTTATTTACCGTACAAGAAGCTGACACCATATCCTGCTCATTAATGCGCTCCTCACCGAAGTCGAAAGGTACTATTTGTGGTAGAACTGCAGGAGTGCCAAGAAAGGACATTAAGGGGGAATGCAACTGAATTAGAAAAATCAAAATGTAAAATTGAAGGAACAAAGAAAGCATTGCTGCGCTTTGAAAGCGTAGCTAACCATTAACCGCCAAGACAGCCCAATGCGACGTGACGCCTGCGTTATTTGTCGCTACGCAACTATAATTGCCAGCATGACGCGCACGCACCGATTCTATGCTGAGTACGCTCATGCGTACACTAGTTTTTGTGACAACAACACCATCATTCGTGTAAACGCGTCCGCCATGCTTTGTCCAAGTGACATCTATTGGCAAATCGCCTTTGTTAACGGTACACGAGGCGGATACCATGTCCAATTCGTTAACGCTCGCCTCGCCAAAGTCGAAGGGCACAATTTGCGGTAGTACTTAGTATGAGTTCAGAGAGAAGATGTGTAAAAATAAAAGTGACGTTATAGGCGTTACGCTTGCACACTAGAGTAAAGAAAATACACTTTTATAAACTCCCGACTTGCCGGTTTACTTCTCTTACTTCATTTGACTAATGCCCCACACACAGTTGGGTTATATAGAAAACGCGTGTGGGAGAGCGGAGCCGTTCATAATAACCCAAAAACTATAAAGAACCAAAAAAAATGTTGAAACTACGCGCTATCAAAACGAAACAAAAACTATTTAGAAATATTTCGCTAATTCCTGCGCACCATTAACGCTCAGCTCAGTCGTATGATAGGCCACGCCCGCCGCATTACGCGCTACACAAGTATAATTCGCACGATGACGCGCATGCACCGACTCTATGCTCAGCATACTAATCCGCTGCGTTGTTTTTGTTATTAATATGCCATCGTTGGTCATGAGTTTACCCGAACCACCAAGTTTGGGATCCGGCGCTGTGGTCCAATACAAATCGATCGGTGTGTCGCCTTTATTGACAGTACATGTAGCCGAGACCATATCGTTCATGTTGATCGCATCCTCACCGAAGTCGAAGGGCACAATTTGTGGCGGTACTAAGAAGGTAGAACAATGTACTTCCTTAATTACAATAAAAAAAACTCGCTGAACCCACGTTGTTACTCGCGTCTTGGAGTATGTGACCTTATTAAGCTCATAATAAATTGTTTGATACGCAAAAAAAATATTACACCGTTAGAGTTCAAGGACGAAGCACTGTTGAGTGTAGAGTTAAAGTTAAAGCAGACGGACGTTCTGCTACGTCGTCGAACTCTTGAACGGTCTGTTTGTTGTAAATGCGTTCATTTCCGCTGCGTAAACTGTGCGCGGAAAATGAACAATAGCAAGTGTAGGAGACTTACCCATAACTTGTACTTCGAGTGAGCCGCGCGCTGAATAACCTTCGGCATTTTTAGCTACGCAAGTGTAGGTTGCTTGATCGGAGTTACGTTCCACATTCTCGATGATTAAAGTGCCATTGGGGAAGACCTTCTGTTTGCGATTGATGGGCAAAGCGCGGTTGTCTGTGAAATTAAAAAAAAAAAAATATATATGTATTAATTTTCTTCCATTCAAAGTTCGCTGGTGGTGCACTCACCTCTTTCCCACACAATCGAGTCGATTGGATAACCCGCTACGGGACAGGTCACAATCAATGTTTCACCCGCTACAATAGCTTTCTTTTCCATTTGCCGTATGTAGGGTAGTCCATAGACATTTAATTTAGCCGAGTGTTCAGCTACGCCAACCTTGCTCTTCGCAATACACTTATACAGACCACCATCGTTCGCATGCACTGAAGTTATATTCAAATACGATACCACATCACCATTCACCGTCACATATTGTCCCACTTGATAACGATCGATATTGGCGATTTTCTTGCCATCGAGTTCCCAGGAGATTTCCGGTGTTGGATTGCCACCAGCGACACACTTGAGAAAGACGCTGGGACCTGGTTCCATTGTTTCCTCCTGGAATGCCTGTCGTATAACAGGTGGATCGAAACGACCGCCCAATTTCAATTCAGCGCTTGCCTCCGCCGATTCCTGATCGTTACGCACAAAACACTGATACATGCCCTTATCCTCCTTCTTAACCGATTCGATGCGTAAGACCTGATCGCTATGTCCAATCGATTTGCCATCCTTCATCCAACTAATAGTCTTGATGGGATTACCGCTGTATTGACAGGTGAACACTGCTGGACGTCCAAAGTCTACTGTTTGTGTGGGTGGATCGATTTTCGCCGAGAGTGGCGCGGTGACAGTGAGCACAGTCTCCACACTTTCGCCCCCGACGGAGTTATTGACGACGCACAGATATTTGCCGGAATCCTCGACAACCGCATCTTTGATGATCAAAGTGCCGGAGACTTGTTTGACGCGTTCGTTGAGTATGACAGCTTGTTTGCGTGTAGTGCCTTCGATGAATTTGTACCATCTGCAATGGAGATGCACAAGGCGGATTAGTATTTTCGTGTATTTCAAAAAAAAGCTGAGCACAAAGATGGTTAAAGATGAAGAAACAACGTAAATGAAATGCTTGGCGGTGGTGTGCTTTGCGTTGGTGATCAAAATAATATTTTTTGAAATTTTTTAAATTTTATTTTATATTTTTTAAAAGCCCATCGAATAAGATGAAGTAGCTAAGATCAAAAAAATTAGAAAACTTGCAAAGCAACAACAACAACGACAACTAAAACGAACATGGCTTGCATGAATGACGTAGATACAGGTGTAACGGTATCATACCCACCTTTGCGTCAAGTCCTATACTCACCTCAGAGTTATGTTGGTTGCTCTAGCATTTCATTTCATCTTTTTTCTTTTTTCATATTTTTAACCATCTTTGTTTGATAGCTTGTTTCTTTAGAGAATCTTCGAAAAAGCCTAGCACGACCTAACAAAAAGGAATAGAGGTTAAAAACACTGGTAAAAGACACGAATAAGCAGCTATAAAGAATATTTGCCAATGGAGATGGAGAAGGATCGAATAGCGCACAGCGGGTTATAGCTGAAGAGGTCGATAGTAAGAGAACAAGCTGTTAAGAGACCGAGACGAAAGAGCAAACTGCCAAGGCTCGGTGGTATGTGACCAAACGGATATAGGAGCGAGCTTCGGAGAAATCAAAAGATATTAGAGTCTCTCAAAGGCAGAAGTTCTCTCAGTTAGAAAAGCAGCTGAGATAGCTAACAATGCAGCGGGTTAGTGGCTCAAGAATTTACCCGCGGTCAGGCATGCTTGTCTTAAGAGGCGACTAAAATCCAATAGTACACGCGACAGTCGGGTCTTTACTCCGGGACGATCCGGCATTTTATCTGGCCAAAATCTGTCACTTCCGGAACATTTCCCAAAAACTACTTTGGAGAATATTTTTGCAGTTACAATAACCTTTCATCGTATTGCGTCAGAGAATGGGCGGTAGGTCTGGCGGCTGCAAGAAATCGGTTGCGTGCATACTGGATTCCATGCCACAAGGGAATTCCGGGAATGGAAATGATTGTTGAGGTTGCCAAAACTGCCATCCGACTGACTATCGCACATGTACAGGATATACGCCAAACCGTAAAAATAGTTGCGCAAAAAAATATCCGAAAGGGCTGACAGCGTGCTTCTACTTATCCGGACTTGAACCCCACATGCTTAACGTATGTCTTGTATGTAAGAGTCCCCACACTTCACAAACCAAACCGGGATCAACGTATCTATAATAACACCCTTCTACCTTTAGTTCGTCTCCGTCGAAACAGGTCGATTCCTGAACCTAGATGGTATAGACTAATTTCGCTGGCTCTAAGGCGATGTTTAGCAGACTCCTTGGGAACTCCATTGTTATCTAGATCGGAGCCAAGACTGAGTGCATTTAATCTCTTTTACTAATTCAAGATATGCAAGAGAGAGAGAGAGAGTAGGCAATTATGCTTCAGCTAGCCCTTCATTATATGTATTTACCTATAAACCGGCACGGGATAGCCTTGACCAGGACAATGCCCTACAAAAGTGCCCCGGAAAGGTACTTCAATAATTTCAATACTTTTTATGGCAATACGTGGCTTGACATGACCCACGGGTTCTAGTGTGTAGTGGAAAAAAGTGAGGTTAAATAGGCAACTTTTTTAATACTTCAAAACATGACTAATAAACTGCCTGAATGAGTGAAGTTAAACTAATTTTTTACCTAAATAATGGCATTGGGTAAGCTTGAGCCTGACAGAGTACAGCGAAACTGGCACTCAAACGCATTGTAAGCTCTTGTAAGCGGTCACCGGAGACGGTAGGTGCGACACTGCCAATGGGTTCTAAGAACAAAAATTATTTCGTCATTTCAGAAGGAAAAATAATAAGAGAAAGAATAAAAAAACCGCCTGAAAGCTGAATGCTGCACCGGTTTGGCAGAGTCTCCTCGAGCAATTTCAACACTCAAATGGAAAAGAGAGATGTTCTTCCATTCTACAATACTTCTCGACATTTTTTACCGAAAAACTGGCGTTGGATAGGATTGTAACTGACAGAGTATTGTCAGACTGTGACTAGATTGTGCTGTTACTTCCTGCAAACGTCCGCCGGAAATTTTCGGCGCCACACTTCCCACGGGTTCTGTAAAAAAAATTTACTTCGTAAGACCTTTTGCCAAAATTTTTGCGCAGAAAACTGCCTGCAGATGTCAGTGTTTTAAGCTTTCACTAATTTAAGCTTCACCCATAAGCTTTTAACATTTAAAACGCTTTGCGGCATTTTATTTTTAACTGCAAACTAACCTTATTATAGGCACCGGAAAGGCTTGAGCTTGACATAGCAGAGCAAAGCTATGTCCAATTTCTTTAACAAACGTAAAGCTTTTAGATTCGCCAGAGAAAGTGGGCGCTTTGGCGCCAACAGGCTCTATAAATAACCAAAAAAAATTTATTTGCAATTTAAGAAACCCTTCAGCTGGGAAGCATTTTACTTGAACAGCTTTTTTCCAAAACTCAAAATTTTCAAAAAATATTTCAGGATTTTATTCTTTTAATATTAAGTCCGAAAATATTTTTGTATCTTCCTTATAACGGGTACAGGCCACGCTTGAGCTTGACATAATAGAGCAAAGCTTTGACCAAAGTTACGTGAAAATGTAAAGCTCTTCAAATCATTAGAAAATGTAGGAGCTTTCGCGCCAACGGGTTCTAAAATTTATTTATAAAAAATATTACATTTACCATAAATACAAGAAAAAGCTTTCTTAGGCTTAAGGTTTAAAAAAAAGCTTACTATTTCTACTATATTAAAGAAAAAAATTACAAAGAATGTTACAGAACCAGTTAGCAGTGTTGCGAGTCGCTCAAATAATACGTACGAGCTTAGAACATTTACCTTATAATTGGCACCGGAAAAGCTTGCGCTTGACACAACAACGCAAAGCTTTGACCCACCGCGCGTATATAAGAGAAAATATTAGAATCAGTCGAGAAAGTGGGTGCTTTAGCGCCGACAGGTTCTAAAATAATTGAAAAAAAAAATAAAAATCAAACCATTTGATACAAAAGCTTTACAAAGCTTTCAATAATCAAAACAGAAAACTGCCTTAGTGTATTTGCAATAATGACATAACCTTAAAAGTACTACCTAAATAGCGGCACCGGAAATGCTTGAGCTTGACAAAGGAGCACTAAATCTTTAGCCTGAGCTTCCACAAAAGTGCTGCTTTTCGCTAAATTAGGAAAAGCAGGCGCTTTGGCACCGAGTGGTTCTTTAAAGAAAAATAATTTTATGAATATAATAAAACGTTGTCAAGAAATACTTAAGAAAAAAACTGCCTGAAGTTGTTTTAAAATAATAATTATTGAGCTTTTTTTAATTTAAAATATTTGAAAAAAATAAAGCGTTTAGTTTCACATTTGAAAAGTTTTTTCTTGGGAAGCTTTCACAGAACTTTTATATTTATTTTCGCTTTTTCTATTTCTTTTACCTAAATAACGGCACCGGATATGCTTGAGCTTGACATAGCAGTACAAGATCTTTGGCTTGTCTTTCAATGAATGTGCCACTTTTCAGAGCAGTGGGAAATGCAGGAGCTTTAGCGCCAAGGGGTTCTTTAAATATGAAAGTTTAAATTAAATTTACATACATAAAAATCAATTGCACTGCAAAAAGCCTGAATGTTTTTGAGCTTTTTGACTTGCGGCTAAAAAATACTTTCCTCTAAGCTTTCATTTAAAAAAAAAATAAATACCTTGTTAACGGCACAGGAAATGCTTGAGCTTGACATAAAAGCACAATATCACCGAAGCTTTTACCCATAAGTGTGCTTATTTTTGAGACTGTCGGAAAAGTGGGAGCTTTTGCGCCAACAGGTTCTACAGAATGGAGATTTTTAAATACAAAAATTAGAAATAAAATATATAAAACATTTATTCATACTGCTAGTGCTGAAAAACTAACTGTAGAGATTGGGATAGATTTTTTTCTTTTCAAGGTTTTGCTTTTGCGCGTTTTATTTGAGTAATTTATGTAACTCACATTTAAAAATATATTACCATTTGATTTTATTTTTATTTTCTTTTTATATTCCTACCTTATAATTGGCACGGGAAAAGCTTGAGCTTGACAGAGCAACGCAAAGCTTTGTCCAACACTGCGTGTATACGAAAATGAGCTTGAATCAGTGGAGAATTTGGGTGCCTTAGCGCCAACGGGTTCTAAAAAATTTAGTTTTAGGTTTAAAATTAAAAAAAAAAATTATAATAAATTATGCATAAAACCCGCCTGATTTTTTTAATTTATTTAATTCTTTTATTGAATTCAGCTGAGTAAAGAGCTTTACCTTATAATCGGCACGGGAAATGCTTGTGCTTGGCATAAAAGTGCAAAGCTCGAGCCCACCGTACGTACAAATATGCTACCCTTAGAATCACTTGAAAATGTGGGTGCTTTGGCGCCGACGGGCTCTAAAATGCAAAAGACAGTTATACAATGATTTTAAGTCCTTTTTGTTTAAAAAGTACAATATAATTAACAGAACCGGTTGGCAGATGTTTTTTTTTCTCTTCTTTGATTTCAATAAAAGAAAGTAACCCCTAACGTATACAAGTTTTCCTAAAAGTAAATATATGAAATTTTGTAAAAATCTTTTAAATTTCCAAAAAAATTAGTCTCAATTTAAATATTTTTGCGGTCATATTTAGATTGGAATTATTTATTTTTACCTAAAAATTGGCACCGGAAACGCTTGCGCATCACAAGTCATTGCCAATTTGCCGTGTTGAGGTGCATAAATAGTGAATGTGCTGGCAACGCTGGGAAATGCCGGTGCTTTAAAGCCAACGGGTTCTATGAAAAATAATCGAAACATCGAAAATTTAATCGATCACTATGATAAATACGACAAATTCAACAGATTATTAAACCTGAATGTTGGGCTTTTCCAAAATATATTGTATTATTTTACGTAAAATATTATTTGG